CCAGACCATGTGTCAGGGGCGGAAAAACGGCCACGGACCACGTGTCAGGGGCGGAAAATGGCCGCGTATCCTGTTCATACCCCGAGGCGGAGTTCGCAAACGGAAGCAAAATTTTGCGGCCGGAGCTGGTCGTAACCCGAAAAGTTCGTTAACAGAAGCGTTCGTAACCTGAGGTTCCACTGTATTTGATTGCAGCTTAGGCTACAAAATAGGTCCAAATAAAGAAGTGTTTTCAAGCTATGTCTCCTCATGGTCCTCATGTCTGAAAGCAGGACTGTGGTTTGCCATTTCCTTTGTATCTTGTGGGCCAGGTGGGACTTGGATGGCTTTACCATTCTGTCCTCCTTGAATTGACTTCTTGTAGGCTGTGAAGAGGAAATAGAAGGAATGGAGCATTAGAGAGAGTGCATTCTGGGATAGTAATTTTCTCTCTGTGGCATCACGAAAACTGCATAATGGATAAAACACAGTCAAATGTAATGTGCTTTACTCATCTGGAATTTGAAAAAGAATAAAGAATGGGCTCCACAACCTTTTTAGAGTTGATAACCATGGTGCCTCAAGGATGATCTGGTGGGACTACATAATGGGTGGGCTTGAACAAACAGTGGGTGTGGCCAGAGTAAAGTGGGTGGGGCTACCCATCTTTCTACTGTTTCCTTTTTCCTCTTTCTGGCACCCTCCTTTTTCTGTCTCTTTCTCTGGCACTTCATTTCTCTCTCTATTCCAGTTAAAAAAGAAAGTCCTTTAAGGGCTGAAGGAAGTAGGATGGTGATTTGGATAAGATCACTAGAGGGCCTGGACCAAAATTGTTCACCTTTTCTAAGGAGGTGGATAGGATTAGGGTTAACCCTAAACTCTACTTCCCCCAATAGGCAGAATAAGCCTATCAAAGCCTTAATAGAGTCTCTATTTTGAATCTTACTTTGTTTTTTAAAAATGCAAGAAAGACCCCAATAATAGCCAAAGTTCAGCAGTGTGGTCCAGGGGAGGGGGCTTGTTCCAATTTCTTCCTCTGTGCTGCCCATTTAACATCTTCACAGCCCAAGCTTTTTAAGGGCAAAACAAGAAAAAAAGAGCTATTGATATTTCCCATCCAGATTTATCAGAGCTTGTTGGAAAGGTACGGTGGCAGCTTGTCAGACAAGCCCCTTTTTCAAACCCTGACGACCACAGTATCTCTCTATTAGTTGGTCAACTCTACTCTCTTCCATTTTTCGACTGTACAAACAAAGCGAAGGGAGGGCTTTGGGATGGGAAGTGTTTAAATTGTTACGAGGCCAGAGGGCTTTGGTGCCCAACCTTATCAATGTCCTGCTTAGTCACACCTGTAGGAAATACCAGTACAACATATTCCATTGTTAGCAGCTTACCACTTCTATAGGTCCCGGTTTGAAAAATAAACACCATTTGTGTGAAAATGCTTTTGTGCAAGTCAATAATTCTTTCAGGGAATCTGGGTGTACTTTGTCAATCAGTGCTCCTTAGGAAAGGGTAAGCAAACAAGCCGGACTGTGTACGTACGACACTTATTCAAGTTGAAGTTTCTCCCCCCTCTCTACCTTGGGGGTTGGCTCACCATTTAGAGAAAGCCCATCACGCTGAAACATTGGAGTCCCTGCTCCGTGTCTTATCGCAGCTCAATTGTATAACTTTGGTTAAATATTTACGCAGCACGGAATTCAGGATGGATGGAACAACGGGCCACCAATCATTCAGAGTTTCTTTCTTGAACCAATACCATCAGTAATTTGTCAGAGTTCAGGGGACAGGGTTAGAAAAGAGCCCCACAGGAGCTCAGCATAAAAGCATAGAAACCTGAATTTGCCAGCCAGTTGGCAAAGAGGGGGAGTTTTAAAATGGGAGGAAGCACGTTGGGGGGGATCTAAACCCACAAAGTAAAAGTCAGAGGGAAGTGCCTTAATTCTAAACCTATTAAGGGCTAAAAAGGGAGGTGGGAAATTGATTGTGGCTGGGGAGACCAAGGTTTTCAGGGATCTTGAAAGCTACCAAGTGCGGGAGGGGAGGAGAATGGATATTGCAATCATAATGTTACTAGAATGCGCAGGACCAAAATATTGCCCCTTGGCAGGGAAGTTGGCCAATTTAATGGGCAGATGAAGTGGCTTAAAATGAGTGTCTTCAACCCTATAGGAAACATTCAGGCCAATTTTTGAAAGTATCAGTATGCTAACGATGCTCAGCTATACATTTCCATCCCAGTCTGAATCAGGGATGTCGTGGAAGGCTTGAATCAATGCCCGGAGGCTGTTCAGATCTGGATGAGATGAAACAGGTTGGAAATGAACCCAAACAAGACAGAGTCACTGTTTGTGTGGGACAGCAACTTATCTTTCCAGTATCTTACCTCCAGGGCTAACTCTTGAAGGGGTAGTTTCCCCTAAAAAAGTGTGTCCATAAATGAGGGTCCTCCTAGACTCAAGGCTACTAATTGATAGGCAGGTGGGGGCTGTGTCTAGAGAGCCTTTTGCTGAGCTCTGGGCTGGTGTACCAATTGCCCTTGTGGGGAGCGGGGGGGCCTTGTCACAATAACTCATGCTCTTATCCTCACAAAGATGATTTCAATGTACTTTAAACGGACTGCCCCTGAAGTCCACTTGGAAACTGCAATTGGTGTGAAATGCAACAGCCTTTATATTAGCAAATCAAAACCACTATCGTCATATTGCACCTATCTTACAGTGGCTGCATTGTTTACCAGTGCATTTCCAGGTACAATTCAAAGTGCTAGTCTTGACCTAGAAAGCCCTCTCTGGTTTAGTCCCAAGGTATTTACAAGACCCCTGGTCCACAAAGTGGGAGATCCCCCACCCAACTGGTCCAGTGTGGATCGTCCACCAGCAACTTTTAATGGTTCCCCATGTAGGGGAGGTCGTGGGCCACAGCTCACAATGTTTCTCTATGGCAGCCCCTAGCTCATGGAATAGTCTCCCCCTCGAGAATAGATTGGCACCCTCAGTTCCAGAAACGGTTACAGACAGAATGATTTTGGAGGGCTTTGGGGAATGAACGGTCATCATACACTTTACGGCTGTTTAAGACTTTTATAATTAGATGTTTTGTTTTTATGTTTTCGTGCCATAAACCAGTGGGAATCATTTTTCAAATCTGGCAGAATACAAATGTAATAGGTGTATAGGTAGGTACGGGGAGAGAGAGAGAGAGAGAGAGAGACTTGTCACTGTCCAGCTTTCTAAAAAAATTGTTGGCTTTAAAATCTTGGTGAACTGGACTGCAGGACAGTGAACCAGCCTTTGAAATATTGCATAAGAAATCCAAGAATGGCCATGTTTACATGCATACAGTTAAGGATCAACATTTGCTTAAATGTTAGGAGTCTGGTCAGATAACAGATTTTAGTAAAAGGCACCAGCTTTTGTGGGTTACAGTTCCTGGGTGGCTAAACCAAGCTTCAGATGAAGTGAGCCACAGTTCACGAAAGCAGATGCCTTTTAATGAGATTTGTTAGTCTGAAAAGGGGCTATTAGGGTCCTCCTGATTTGGGGCTACCGTAGACTAACACAGTTCTCCTCCTACAGTGGTTAAATGTTGTTATCCTGAGGAGGATCTGAGTGACTTCTAGACAAGAAAAGGCACAAGGAAAATAAAGTCTTGAAGGGGAAGGATTAACCACCTTTCTTTTTCCACTTCTATAAAACACATCAGCTTGCTACAATGTTTGGAGGAGATCTAAGTTTTCAGATTGATAGATCCACTGGATACCTTAGACCTTTCGGAACCATTCTAATTTTGATACAATGCCAAATAAATAAATAAATAAATAAATAAATAAAGTCAAGTAGTCTTAGGTATGCCATAGATCTCTTAAACAAATAGGTATATATTTAAAAAACCAGTCTCATGTTATTTTCTATTGATTTATCAGAGGGTACAAAAATCCAGATGAACTAAGCAAGTGCGATGTTATTTAATAGATTTCAAATGAAAGGCTTGGTTCCCATAGACTATGACAGGATTTTTAACCCTGGTTTGTTAAAGAAGCCATAATGGTCTGATTTGCATATAATCTGCAGAGTCTTTGGCTTTGGTGGTATAAACATGTGATAGATAAGTAAATAAATAAATAATACTAAGCCGTATAGCTGGTCTCACATCACATTCTGCCCCAAACAAACCACGTTATGGATTATGTTATGTGCAACCAGGCCAATGCATGAAATTTTTAGGGTGCAAAATCTGAAATAGCTTGAAATGCGGAATTTTGAACCTTTTGCCGATGAGTCATGTCCCCTTTTCCGTTTCTTTTGCAAATGCTCCATGTTCTCAGTTGCACAGCAGTGTTCTTCTTTTACAGAAGCTCCTTGGAGACCTTTGTCTTCACGAGTACCAACCATCTATACAAATCAGAGAAATTGATCCAGACAAGTTTAAGATGCATGAAGAAAAATCCATGTAATTTAAGGGATCTGTCCTATTTTCCACTTACACCAAAAATACCGCTCAGTTCTTCACACTCAAAACTGGTCAAATCAGGTCTGGTTATATTCCCATGACCATACGTCGGTATGCTTTTAGATCTACCCATAACACAAGTGGTTTTTACTATGGCTTAAAATCAAAGCCTAGTTATTGGATAGAGTATTAAGTTTGGAAGCAATTCCAGAATTCTCAGACTAGTAGTGAGGAAGCTGAAGATCTATAGAAGTTCCTGAACTACAATACTCTTCTCAGCAACCCACATCAACAATGCCAATAGGAAAGGTTGTTGGGAATTATAGTTCAGCAAGATCCAGAGGCACAGGTTCCCAATTTTGTTTGATGATTTCATATCCCATCTTTGAATGGTAGGGTTACTTCAGCCCCTTCAAAACATGGAAACAGACCTCACTCTCAGATACGTCAGGCTCATCAGAGTCATCCTTTAGTGAGTCAGTATCGCCATTATCTAAAAGAAACAAAGGCATATAGGATATCAACTTCTATCACAAGATGTAGAAACACAAATTTTCCTCTCTTTTTTGACTAGAGAAAAGCATGCAAGACAGAAAAGGGTTGTTTTCCCCTTAAAGGCTCAGAATCAGATAAGCATGTGCCTTTCTAATCACCAGTGATCAGGGATACTTCAAATTGCACAAGTATCTGTGAGTCCATTGTTCAGTTGTGTATTTGGCTTCTGCTTTATTTGTAGAAGGTCCCATGTTCCATTCTTGGCACTCAGGAAGGCATTGCTGTAGTCTCTGGAGAGCTATTTCAAATCAAAATGCTGACACTAGACTCGGGATTTGATAGGGTGGGGCTCATTCAGGATAGTATAAAGTTGGATGAATGCCAGAGGTTTCTAATCCTCCTGGATGAAAGGTTCAAAGTGCCATAGATTTCAGCTGAGCACAAAAGGCCAACTGTCTAATATACTCCAAGTTTACTTAAACTCGAGGTGTCATTTATTCAACAAGATTTATGGTACACATAATCCTGGATGTAAGCCTTCCATTGTAAGAGAAATGAAATTACTGATTGAGCAACTGAGACGCTTACTGGGAAGCTGCTTATGATTAAGGGTCAGAAAAAGAAGTGTCTCGAGGTTTGGTCATCATGAGAAATGTCTCTTTCTTGCTCAAGAATTGGTTACATATCCTAACCTTCTAGAACCTACAGACACATTGGGATTACTGTCCTAGAACCAGTTGTTGATCATGCTGGTTGGAATTTGGATAGTTGTTATTCAATGCATCTGGAGAGTACCAAGTAGGGGAAAGTTTTCATAGCCTGTTACAGCAAATACAAAGCTATGGTCCCTGAAACATTGTGATGGAATTCACACATTATTTTAAGTCATGATTTACTTAACTATTGCTTATTGAACAAAACACAGTTGACTGGGTTCACCCAGGCCAAGCTCAAACCAATCATATTATGGTTTAGCACAGCATGTGAACCAGGTTGGAAAGTTTATTGTGCAATATGTTTTTCATGCTCGAGATTCTAGTTGTCTTCTAGTTAAGGTGCCCTCAGACTTTTGTTCAGAAGAATCTTTTAACACGATTGACTATTGACTATGATTGACTATTGATTAGTCAACAATTTAATGGATTATTGCTTGCAAGCTCTGATTTAATGGATTATTGCTTGCAAGCTCAGGTATGGAATTTTAATATAACTGGAGGGGGTGACTTGCAGCTGTATCAAGCCCATGCTTGTTTCTTTGTTACTGCTTCTTCCTGTTTGAATTTCTCAATTAAAAATGCCCTCTCCCATGGGACAAATAGAAGCACTCAAGGGAAGGCTGCAGCTTAACTAGGGAAAAAACAAGGCTTAGGAAAAATCAATGCCTTTTCCTTGAGCACTCAGGTTCTCAGCTTCCTATTCTGGACCCTTACTATGAATCTCTTAGGTTGTAGGAGTCAAGTATTGTGACATGTCAAGACTAGGTGAACAGAGTAAGAATTGTTTTGAGAAGATACTTTTGGAGTTGTTGGGTGTGGTTTGAAGTTGTAAATGGGTATTTTGCCTCTGTGAGGCTTAATACAGACATTTCCAGCTATATTTTGGTCAAAATCCCCCCCCCCCAAATTTGGTTGGTTGCAACATCAACAGTACAGTTTGGGGTTCTTTATAACCTAAATAAAGTTGAACACTGATTCATTAAGCCCAAATTGGGGTACTCTAGGGGCTGCAAAAAGGTGGCTGGAGGGGAATTGCCTAAGGTTCAAAGGCATAATTGCCCACTCCTGGTTTAATTCAATCTTCTCTCAAAGTCACTATCCTAAAGCATCCTATATCTTCTATATGTGTGCCGCTCTCCCAGAAAGTGAAAAAAATATTCAGGTTCTGTTTTACCTGGCTGCTTAGTGTCTTGATTCTCCGCTCCAAAAGGCATCTTTACTTCTGTGTCAGCAGTGGAGTCATGTGAAGATGGCTTGGACATGGCAAGTTCTTGTGGCAAAGATACCTGCAGAGGTCACGGAGTTTGGGAAACAGAAAAATTGCAGGTTGCCACTTAGCCTTACAAAGTCCTGTAATGCTCACAGTGACTACGTTCAGGTGAGGGAAAGATTTACCACCTGCATTTGTACCACATGCTAACTTTGGTTAGTTGGTACAGTATACCCTCAATTTAACAGACCTTGGTTTAGCAGACTTCAGATACAATGGACAAAATGTTCATCTGGGTTGCATCCCATAATATTAGGCTTCTGTGTTATATGGGGAATGTACAGAACTGCAGAGATGACCTTGGAGAAAATATGTGAGGACCAAAATATATCTTAGGCTGGGGAAAACAAAATAGTATAAGAAAGAAATGCAAAATTGCCCTGCCTTGGTATACTGCCCTCCCTCTCTTTGGTGTAAGAGGGAGGGAAGGAGGAATGTGGTCAGGCTTTCAAGATTCTATTTTAATACCCTATATCAATAAAGTAGAGCTCTGGGATTTCTTGTGGAGTCCATTTTCTGACCTGGCTTACCTCAAAGAGCTGACAGGGAAGCAGTCTAGACATTGGTCAGTGTTTCCCTTAAATCAGTGTTGTCCAAACTTGGCCACTTTAAGATGAGTGGACATCAACTCCCAGAATTCCCCA